CCCGTATAACCCGGATCGAAACCCCGATTCTCAGCCGCTCGGTTTGCTTAAACATACTATTTTCAAGTTCTTATCTCATCTCCTAATCTCACACTTAGCATCTATTGTCTAACAACTAGCATAAAAATAAATCACATATGTTTAGAACCACAAAATCAAATTTAATTGTTATTCCCATTTTCACGATAAACAAGTTATTTTCTTTAATATGGCCTTCTGTGCACTTGGGTGCATGACACCCCTGCCTCTACCTTTCCCTTGTTCTTCCCTTCCGTTAGATGATTTGTCTCTTCCTGTTGATCGCACCATTATCTATGTATGCACAAAGAGAGTTGTCAGTTTCCATGCAAGTTCACAAGCAATTAAGAATTATGTTTGTATTGGAGGACACTATAGAAGCAGTACGGTTTCAAGGTAGTAACATGCAGCAAAAAAAATAGTCAAGTGTTGTCTGCAAAGAGGATGTGCGATCTGCACAAATCCAAGTGCGGTCGCACTCTTGCATAGCTACAACAAGTCCTTAGAGAGAAGAGTCTGATGGACAATGTAGACTCCATATGTGGCCGTAGAAAACCAACAGCAGTCCGCATAATTAGTTTTGCATTTCGCATTTGAGTAAATGTACTCAGGTCTTCAGAGAAGAAGTTCTCTGATTGTCAGTGTGGATCTCCCTTTGCAGCCACATGATTTCAAACGTGGTCGACACAAATAAAGTGTGGCCGCACAATTTGACAACACACGTCACCAAATCAAAATTTTGCGGACTGCACTATTTTAAGTGTGGTCTGCACAGTTAAGAACAGTGGTGGATGACAAGTATTTTTACCTAGGTTATGCAATTATGTGTTAAATCCTACTGGGTAACATGGTTAGGGCATGATAATCAATAACCCAAACCAATTTAAGCATGCTTTGACAATAAACCAATGTTAAACTACCCCACAAAGACACGATAACGACATGCAATAACAGATGGCCTTAAAAGAAAGTATAAAGCCAAAATAAATTCAAAAAACAACAAGATTGAAGTGATTCCAGAGTGTGCTAGTGCAATAATATCAACAGGAGTGTGATAGGCTGTTTGTGATCACAAAGTGCAAGCACGCAGGCTCTTCTTAGAGTAAGAGTTTGAGAGTGAAAATGGTGCAAAGGATAAATGGGTGAGTTACTGTTGTATTTATACTCAGATGCTGGTGAGGGTGAAAGAGGGCGAGTGCGGCCACATAATTTCATGTGTGGTCCGCACTCTATTACATGCGCATGGGGAAAGCAAGAAATTGTGTGGTCCGTATTTTTTCAAGTGCGAAAGTATTTCTGTCAACTTAGTTTCAGTGACGTTTCTCATAATGCTCTCTTGCGACCATATAATTTGTGATGATCCGCAGAACTAGCTCTGCACTGTTGGGAGAAAAGTCAGACGACCTTCAACTTAGCACTTGAGTGGATCCATGCAAATGCGGTCCGCAGATAAAATTTATAGCAACACAAAATATTTTGCAGTCCGTATTCCCTCTTCTGCGATTGCACTAGTAAAAGTATTGGTCGTATTTTTCCTTGTAGGAAAGATCTTCAGCCATCATTTCATTATCTAATGTTGATCCCTGCATCACACTTCAAATCAAGTTAAAAACAACTAAAATCAGTTAAGTAAAAGAGATAAAGGAAATAAACTTGGGTTGCCTCCCAAGAAGCGCCTTATATAACGTTGTGGCACGACGCAATGTCATAACATCCTCAAATGAAGTAAAGAACCACCATCACATGGCTCTCACCAACTTTTCCCAAATAGTGCTTCACCCGATGATCATTGACTAGAAATATTTCATTATTCTTTCTCTTCAAGTCTAAGGCACCAAAGGGTGTCACACCAACAATTTCAAATGGAACCACTCCACTTTGACTTGAGCTTCCAAGGAAACATTCCCAACTTGAGTTGAACAACAACACTAGATCACCGGCATTGAACTCCTTGTTCCTAATATATTTGTCATGAAGATATTTCATCTTTTCTTTGTACAAGGACGAACTTTCATATGCATGGTACCAGAATTCATCTAATTCATTCAAATGTGCTACCTGCAATTTAGCGTTTACATCCCAATCAATATTCAATTTTTTAAGGCCCACATTCCTTGTGCTCTAATTCCACCGGAAGATGACAAGCTTTTCCGAACACCAATCGGTATGGAGACTTCTAATAGGTGTTTTGTAAGCCGTTCTATATTACCATAGAGCATCATCAAGCTTCTTAGACCAATCCGTCTGATTCGAATTCACCGTCTTGGACAAAATACTCTTTATCTCCCTACTGGAGACATCCACTTGATCACTAGCTTGTGGATGATATGGAGTTGTCACTTTGTGAGTAACACCATACTTGTCAAGTAATGTGTCAAAAGCCTTGTTGCAAAGATATGACCCTCCATCACTTATGATTGCCCGTGGAGTCCCAAATCTTTAAAAAATATTCCTCATCAAAAAAGCAACCACACTTCTAGCCTAATTATTGGGTAAAGCAACAGCTTCAACACATTTAGACAAATAATCCCGCAACCAAAATATAGGTGTTTTCACAAGAACTCACAAAAGGGCGTTTAAAGTCAATACCCCAAACATCAAAGATATTAGTCTCGAAGATAATTGTAAGGGGCATCTCTTGTGTTTTGTTAAAATTTCACTGGCCCGTTGACATTCATCACATCTTTTTACCAACTCATTTGGATCTTTGTAGAGAGTAGGTCAATAGAAACCATAACTTAGGACTTTAGCCTCCGTTCTTTCTCCATCATGATGACCACCATATGGCAATGAATGACCACCCATTCGTGCAAATTCGAAAAAGGTATGGTTCATCCCAATAATAGTCTTAACAATCTCTCTTGAGCTTTGTTCTTTGGTTTGAAGAGAACTAATCCAGAATGATACCACTCACAAGAAATTTTCCAAATCCGCGAACCATGGTACCTCTTTCATTGAATGTGCCAAAAGTTGCTCATCGGGGAAATAATCATTGATTTCATGGCCATCATGTGGTTTCCTCTCCTCTTCCGAACGAAACAAGTGGTCCACCACTTGGTTTTCACTTCTCTTCTTGTCTTGGATGTCAATATAAAACTCTTGTAAAAATATCACCAATCTCATCAAACGAGCTTTATATTCCTTTCTGCTCATAAGATAGCGAAGCGCGCCATGATACGCGTGGATAATAACTTTGGCACCCATCATGTATGGGCGTAACTTCTCAATAGTAAACACAATAGCAAGAAGCTCCTTCTCTATAACGGTGTAATTGACTTAGGCACTATTCGTGGTTTTACTAGCATAGAATACCGGATGAAAAACTTTGTTGACTCGTTGCTCCAAAACATCCCCAACTACTACATCACTTGCATCACATATGAGCTCGAATGGCAAACTCCAATTTAGAGATGTAATGATAAGAGTAGTTGTCAACTTGAGCTTTGTTATTCAAAATCTCTCATACAATCATCATTGAAATAGAACTTGGCATCCTTCCCAAGGCGTTTACACAAAGGGTTCACCACTTTAGAAAAGTCTTTGATGAAACGCCGTTAGAATCTCACATGGCCCAGTAAACTCCTCACATCCTTCACCAAGGTGGGGGTGGAAGCTTAGAAATAACTTCAATATTTGCCTTGTCCACTTCAATACCATTCCTTGAAATCTTGTGGCCAAGGACAATGCCTTCCTCAATCATAAAATGACATTTCTCCCAATTAAGTACCAAATTTGTTTTCTAACATCTAGCCAACACTTTGTCCAAATTAGCAAGAAAATCATCAAATGAATCTCCAACCATTGAAAAGTCATTACTTCAAGGTATTCTTCCACCATGTCCGTGAAAATATGCATCACACACCTTTGAAATGTCACTGGTGCATTGCATAATCCAAAAGGCATCTGTTTCAAAGCAAAAGTACCATACAGACAAGTAAAGGTAGTTTTCTTTTGATCTTCTAGAGCAATAAGAATTTGGTTGTAACCCGAGTAACCATCAAGAAAATAATAAAAAGCACGGCCAACCAACCTATTGATTATTTGATCCATGAAAGGGAGAGGAAAGTGATCCTTCGTTGTGACTTTGTTGAGCTTACAATAATCCATACAAACTCTTAAACCAATGACCGTTCTCATACTAACCAACTTATTCTTATCATTGGTAACAATCATCATGCCCCCTTTCTTTGGGACATATTGAACCAGAGAAGTCCAAGAACCATCGAAAATGGGGTAGACAACCCCGGCATCTAACCATTTGATAATCTCCTTTTTGACCAGCTCTTGTATAGCATCATTGAGTCTTCTTTGATGTTCAATGGACAGTTTAGCACTATCCTCCAATTTGATCTTATCCATGCAAAATACGGAGCTTATCCCCCGGATATTCGCTAAAGTCCACCCAATAGCTTTTTTCCTCTTTTACAACACCGCCAATGTGGAGTCAACCTCCACGTTAGTCAAACAAGAGGAATGAATAACCAGTAAAGTAGAATAAGGGACAAGGAACTCATACCAAGGTGAGGTGGCAATGGCTTTAGCTCCAAGGTTTGTGGCTCTTCAATCGAAGGCTTTGTAGGAGGAGTATTCCTATCCTCAAGATCCAATAATAACTTTCAGGGTGCATAGTGGTAAAACCCCATTCCTCGCAAAGAATTCACGCATTCCATGAAACCATCCATGTCATCATCATCAAAGTTGAGCAAAATGGCTTCCAATGTTTATTGTAGCACTAGGATCATAAATAATGACATCGGTCACCTAGTCCACAAAAGAGAACACCTCAATGCTATTTAGTTGACGCATAGACTTGCGCACATGGAATACCAATTGTTCATCACCAACTCAGAAAGTGAGTTCTCTAGGACATCATAAAGGGCTTTACCCGTAGAAAGGAAAGGCCTCCAAAGAAGGATAGGCACTTCATAGTCAACCTCACAATCTACAATCACAAAGTCCACTGGAAGAACAAATTTATTAACTCAAACCAAAACCTCCTCAATCACTCCCAATGACCTCTTCATAGTGCGATCGGCCATTTGCAACCACACATATGTGGGTCTTGGTTTCCCATTCCCTAAAATTTTGAACACCAAATTGGGCATCAAATTGATACTCTCCCTAAGATCATAAAGAGCTTTAGCAAAATTGGCACTTCCAATAGTACAAGGAATTGAGAAAGCACCGGGATCCTCCAACTTAGGAGCCATGGCATGAACAATTGTACTCATTTGATGAGTGACCTTGATTATTTCAAAATTCATCGACCTCTTCTTTGTCAGAAGATCCTTCATAAACTTGGGATAACCGGGTATTTGTTCCCACGTTTCCACCAATGGCACATTGATAGAGAGACCTTTTATCATTTGAATAAACTTCTTGAATTGATCCTTCACAAGATAGGGATAAGGTCTGTGTGCACACTACTTTCTTAGACCCCACTTGTGGAATTACACAGGGTTTGTTGTTGTTGTCGAATTAACTTCTCAAGTTGATTATCACCATTTTGCTTAGCAAGCCTTTGAGGATAATGAGGTGGAGTATTTGGCAAGGGCGACTTAGCCTTTTGCACTACCGATTCCGGTATGTCAATAATGTGTTCCCTAGACGGGTTCACCTCTTCTTGGGTCTCCTCCACACTATCTTCAATATCAATTCGAACATCATCACGTACTTGAACATCATTTCGTGAAATTTCCTCCTCTTGGATCACTTGGTCATAATCCATAAGTTGGTTTTTGTTTGAGGTGGGTGCATCCCCACCTCTTTCACCTTTTGTTATAACCCCTATAACATTCCCCATATTGTTACCACCTTTTGGGTTCACTACAATGTGACTTGGTAATGCACCCTTAGGACGAGTATTAAGAGCATGATAGATTTGCCCCATTTGAACTTCAAGATTCCGTATTGATGTGGTATGTGAGGCAAGTTGGGCATTCGAATCCGCATTCTTTTCCATCCTTTGCTTGAACATGTTCTCGTTAGTCAATATGACCCATCTCATTGCTTGAAGAACTTGAACCGTGAGAAGGATAAAGAGGTGGTTTGCCTGGTTGTTGGAACATTGGGGGTCATTGAAAACCCGAACTTCGATTTGCATGATTATTGTTATTTCCCCAATTTCCTTGATTTTTGCCTCCCCAATTCCCTTATGTTATTGTCGTTGCTATGCCAATTCCCTGGTTATTGTTGTTTTTATTCTAATTCCCTTGATTGTTAGAACTCTAATTGCCTTGGTTATTTTGAGAATGCCATTGATTTTGATTGGAGTCTTGGAAATTGCTTTGTTGCCCTTGGTAATTGTTCACAAATTGTACCTCTTCTTCTTGCTCTTGATAAGAGTCATCTTGGTCATAACTACCTTCATAATGTGCATAATTTTCCTCCCGAGATTAAATGTGGACCTTTAGTCCTCTTCTTGTTGGCCAATACATTCACTCCTTCCATAACATGAACTTGCTTAGGGACTTGAGTTTGATGAAGTTGAGCTTTAGCAAGTTGAGTCATAGTTGTGGTCAATTCGGCAATAGCTTTCCCATGGTCTTGCAATTCTTTATGAAGATGGATCATGTTGGGATCACCTTGGGGAACATTAGCTCGGGATTGCCAAGCCAAAGAAGTTTCCGCCATCTCATCAAGAATCTCACATGCCTCTGCATAAGGTGTTGTCATAAAATTGCCTACGGCTAATTGATTGACGACACATTGATTTGTAGTATTAATACCACGGTACAAAGTTTGTTGGATCATATTGTTGGTCATATCATTACTCGAGCACTTCTTCACCACTGTCTGATATCGCTCCAAAATTTCATGCAAAGGTTTATTGGACTCTTGCTTGAAAGCCAATATTTCATCTCGTAGAGTTGCCATGTGCCCGGGAGAGAAGAACTTCGAAATAAACTTCGCCGTCAATTCATCCCATGGATGAATAAAATGACTAGACAAGCATTCCAACCATTCCAAAGCCTTACCCTTTAGTGAGAAGGGAAAAATCCTTAACCACAAAGCATCTTCCGAAACATTTGTTTGTTTTCTCCCCCAACATGTATCCACAAAACCTTTCAAATGCTTGTAAGTATTTTGAGTCAGCACCCCGGCAGAAATAATCTTGTTGCTCGAGCAAAGTAAGCATCACATTGGTAATTTGAAGCCCTAATGCAAAGGGAGACTATGGCACTTGCATACCCCTCATTTGGCAAAATCAAATGTTGTGCCGCTTGTGGTTTTGGTGGTGGTAGAGGTGGAGGTGGGGGAGGTAGAGTCACATTGTCTTGTTGCCCACGGCCTCCGCGGTTTTATTGTGGAGCTTGAGGCATTTCATCAACTTGATCCTCTTCACCATCCACCTCTTCCATTGGAATATTTCCAATTTCGTTGTTCTCCATTTGGAACCTACAATCACTTGAACAAATTAGAATCACGAAAGCAAAAGAAGATACTTCAAGAAACAAACTCAAGTATATAGCTAACATCGTAAATTCCCCTGCAATGTCATCAAAAATTGATCACGTCCAATTCACACCCAATTAAGGAGTATTAAACGGTCATTACAATAATAAAACCCAACGCGAGTCGGGATCGAATCCACAGTAAGTTTAAAGTGGTACCGAGGTAAACACTCAAGAGAGAAACTTGAAATAGCTAAATTTATCTTCAAAACAAAAGTGGGTAATTGTTATCTAAATTAACTACTAAGAGTTTTAACTAACTAGTGATCAAATAATGATTGAAATATTTTTGATGTTTTTATTAAATAGGGAAAAGCCTAGGGTTGTAACCTTAACCTAGGTGTAAATCTAATGGGTAGAGTAAATCTATCCTTGCTTGGTAGATCGGGGTTTGTTATGACTCCCAATGCTTAATACCCACTAAATACCTATCGGATAAAGAGTGATTATGCCCAAATTAACTTTCTCAAGACCAAATAGGCAGCAATCAAAACAACTGACTATAAGTCTAAGTTGGGTTATTCATATCTCTAGTTCAAATCCTTTAATCAAATAAATCAAAACTTCAACTAGTTCAATTTCTTGTTAGCCAAGTTTTCCTAGACCAGGTTTCTCTTTCTCAAGTAAGAACTAAGTCAAATAGGCATGAATCAATGTTTGCAACCATTAATTCTAAGTACAAAGCATAAACAAGGCTAAATAATATCGACCCAATCAATAGCAAGCACTAATATTAAACACCCATAGGTTTTATACACTATGGTTGGATCACAACCCTAGATAAAATCTATATATTCATAGTAATTTACATAGAAAGATAAAAGAAGTAATGAAAGATAAAAAACTAGAATTAAAATGGAAAATTAATGGGTCTTCTCTAATTGTTGTTCCAAGTTGCCCAAAATATAACTACTAGTTGCTGCTACAGTACAAAAGTTATCCTAAAAAGTGTTCCTAGTCTATTTATAGTGCTCTGAAATTCTTTGACAAAAATATCCTTCAATGGATTCGGCGTCCGCACAATTATATCTACGGTCCACACTTTGGTATGTTGTTCTTATAGGTGCTTTGAGTTGAAGGGATTTTACGGCCGCACATAATTTTTTACGGTCGCACTTCAGCTTCTTTGGCCGCACATAATATTGTTGCGGACCCCACTTTGAGAAGGCTTCAAACTTGTTCGATTGCAACCTCTCCGATTTTTCAGTCTTTAACAGTGCTAACCTCAAGTGTGACCGCACTTTTTGGTCTGCGGACCGCACTTCTGCCTGATATCCCTGAAGCTTCAGTTTCTCCTTTATGGTCGTATATTATTTTTTGCAGGCTGCATTTTCTTTTGAGTTTGCAAATGGAATTTCGCGGACCGCTTGCACTTCTCCTCTTGACTATTCTGAGTTGGAACGTCTCCTTTCTGAGTTAGATTTCTTCGTTGAGCTCACATTCTCCAGCATACCTGCAATTTACACATTTTCGTTAGATTCAAAAATAAAAATCACTACTTTCGTACTAAAACTAAAGCAAGAAGGTACTAATAAGTGGTTAAAATTCATACTTATCACCCACAAAGGCACGTCTGCCTATAAGTTTCTTAGACACTCGGCTTCTTCCCTGCCAACTCAAGAGGAATGAATTCATACTCCATAGTAGATCATGCTATACAAGTCTATTGTGAAGACTTCTATGAAATAGAACCTGCACCCAAAGTAAACACATAGTCACTAGTGGAGCTAACTTCTTCATTATCAGTAACCCAATTTACTTCGCAAAATCCTTCTAAAACAATAGGAAAATTATTAAAATGCAAACACCAATCCATAGTACATCTCAAATACCGTAGCAAAAGATGAAAAAAATCCCAATGTTCGCTATTGGGATTGTGAGTATATCTACTCGATCTACTAAACATAAACAATATCAAACCGTGTATAATTTATGAGAAATATTTCACTACCAATTATTTAGATATTCTGTTAGAGAAATACTGGATTCGTTATTCTTTTACCAAGTGTATGCTAGGATCATAAGGAGTTCTCATAGGAGCTACATCAAAACAATTAAACATTTTCAACATTTTCTTAATATAATGAGATTGAGACAATGAAAATCCATTAGGAGTTCATTTGATTTCAATCCTTAAAATCACATCTGCTTTTTCAAAATCATTCATTTCAAATTTAGAAGACAAAAAGTTCTTATTATCATTAACAACATTCACATTAGGGCCAAAGATTAACATGTCATCCACATACAGACATATAATCACACAATATGATCCTATCATCTTGGAATAAAAACAAGTATCAGATGCATTGACAATAAAACCATTATCCACTAATGTGTTATTAAACTTTTCATACTGCTTAGGAGCCTGCTTTGGACCATACAGGGACTTTCTCAATTTGCATACTTTATTCTCCTCTCCTTGAATCACAAACCCCTCAGGTTGAGTCATATAGGTCTCCTCTAAATCACCATTCAAAAAGATCGTTTTAACATCCATTTGATGTATCACTAAATTATGATTAACAGCTAAAGCAACAAGAGTTCTAATGGTCTCTATCTTAGTCACAAGAGAATAAGTGTCAAAGTAATCAATGCCTTTCTTTTGGTCAAAACCCCTAATAACAAGTTTAGCCTTATATTTCTCAATTGTACCATCAGGTCTCAATCTCTTATTAAATATTCACTTGCTACTTATGGGGTTTACATCCTTTAGGAAAATCACACAAGTCTCCCAAGTGTGATTAGAAACTATGGAGTCTAATTCACTTTTAATGGTCTCTTTCCAAAAATTAGCATCTATTGACCTCATTGCATCATCATAAGTCTTAGGGTCTTCTTCTATTAAATGGATAGATATTAATTGATCATTCAGAATATCAAGATCATTATTCTTAATCAAGAAAGTAGTGATAAAGTCAGGACCAAAGCTAGTTTCAATTCTACGTCTCTTATTCCTTCTAAGTTTATTTTCATGCTCATTAGCAGTAACACTAGAAGAAGGCACAATATGAGAATTGACGGACATAGATGTAGAAGTATTATTAGACACATCACTAGGCACATTATTTTTTGATGAAAAAATATGCTCAAAAAATTCTGCATCTCTAGATTCACAAATAGAATTATCATTAAAATACATAAATCTATACGCAACACTATTTTAAGCATAATCAATAAAAATAGCATACAAATTTTGGGTCCAACGGTTACCTGTTTAAAATCAAGTAGACCAACCTTAGCCAAACACCCCCACACTTTCAGAATTTTCAAATTAGGGGCAAACCCTTTCCATAACTTATACGGGGCTTTGTCTAACTTTTTATGAGGGACTTTATTAAGAACACAACATGTAGATAAAACAGCTCCCCCCCTCCTCTTCCCCCTACCCCCCCCCCCCCACATATTATTAGATAAACTCAATCTCAAAAGTATATAATTCATCATTTCCTTATGGGTTCAGTTTTTTTCGTTCGGCTACACCATTTTGTTGGGGAGTATAGGGAGCACTAATCTCACGTATAATACCAATTTTATCACAAAAGACTTCTAGAGAATTAGTACTATATTCACCACCCCTATTAGACCTTAGTCTTTTGATTTTTCTATCTAATTGATATTCTTACTTCTGCTTTGTATTTCAAAAATATACTTTCATCCTCATCGATTGACTACAAGATATCCCTTAGTTTATCTAGAAAAGTCATCTACAAAAGTGATGTGGCATTTCTTTCCACCCTTACTAACAGTGTTCTTGAAATCTGCTAAGTCTGAATGCACTAGTTCAAGTAATTCTATCTTTCTACTAGTTACATTCATTAAAGGCTTTTTGGTATGTTTGCCTCTACACAAACATGACACTTAGAAAAATTATCAACATTAACTACAGAAATTAATTCGATTTTTCTAAGTCTATTAATAGAAGCAATATTAACATGACCTAGTCTACCATGCCACAAATCAATAGACTCAACAATTGTCATGACCAAAATCCAACTAGTCGTGATGGCACCTAACCCAACCCGTTGGGTAAGCCAATTTAACAATAATCCAAGTTAAAATGAGATTTATTGAGAATATAATGATGAAATAATTAAACTTATATACAACAACCCAAGGAATGGTAGTACAAATCATGAGCTTTTAAGATTTAGAGTTTAAAAAGTTGGTATAAAATAAATACATCATTTGTTTGATGTATACATAAACAGATTTATAAATCTAAAGCTACAAAGAACAAGAGGAAACTATAACCAGAATGCGGGTACATATTCAATGCCAGCTCCCGCCATACACAGCAGCAACAACTACAAGATCTGCACGCAAGGTGCATAAGTGTAGTATGAGTACAACCGATCCCATGTGCTCAATAAGTATCCTAACTAACCTCGGCGAGGTAAAAGAAGCAAGAAATATAGATGA